GTTGTCACCTTCTCACCAAGCTGCTTGGTGATGGTCTTGTAGCCCATTCCAGCCTTGTGTAGGTCTACAATCTTGTCCCTGACATCCTTGGAGAGCTCTTTGTCTTGGCCATGGTGGAGAGTTTGGAATCTGATTGATTGATTGCTTCTGTGGACAGGTGTCTTTTATACAGGTAACAAGCTGAGATTAGGAGCACTCCCTTTAAGAGTGTGCTCCTAATCTCAGCTCGTTACCTGTATAAAAGACACCTGGGAGCCAGAAATCTTTCTGATTGCGAGGGGGTCAAATAGTTATTTCCCTCATTAAAATGCAAATCAATTTATAACATTTTTGACATGCGTTTTTCTGGATTTTTTTGTTGTTATTCTGTCTCTCACTGTTCAAATAAACCTACCATTAAAATTATAGACTGATCATTTCCTTGTCAGTGGGCAAACGTACAAAATCAGCAGGGGATCAAATACTTTTTTCCCTCACTGTACAGGGGGTACCGGTACAGAGTCAATGTGCGGGGGCACCGTCTAGTCGAGGTAATTGAGGTAATATGTACATGTGGGTAGAGTTAAAGTGACTATGCATAAATAATAAACAAACAGAGTAGCAGCAGCGTAAAATAAGGGGATGGGGTGGGGGTGGGGGGGCAGTGCAAATAGTCCGGGTAGCCATGATTAGCTGTTCAGGAGTCTTATGGCTTTGGGGTATAAGCTGTTAAGAAGCCTTTTGGACCTAGACTTGGCGCTCCGGAACCACTTGCCGTGCGGTAGCAGAGAGAACAGTCTATGACTAGGGTGGCTGGAGTCTTTGACAATTTTTAGGGCCTTCCTCTGACACCGCCTGGTATAGAGGTCCTGGATGGCACAACTGTCCTGGATGGCAGGAAGCTTGGCCCCAGTGATGGGCCGTACGCACTACCCTCTGTAGTGCCTTGCGGTCGGAGGCCGAGCAGTTGCCATACCAGGTGGTGATGCAACCAGTCAGGATGCTCTCGATGGTGCAGCTGTAGAACTTTTGAGGATCTGGGGACCCATGCAAAATCTTTTCAGTCTCCTGAGGGGGAATAGGCTTTGTCGTGCCCTCTTCACGACTGTCTTGGTGTGTTTGGACCATGATAGTTTGTTGGTGATGTGGACACCAAGGAACTTGAAGCTCTCAACCTGTTCCACTACAGCCCAGTCGATGAGAATGGGGGCGTGCTCAGTCCTCTTTTTTTTCCTGTAGTACACAATCATCTCCTTTGTCTTGATCACCTTGAGGGAGAGGTTGTTATCCTGGCACCACACGGCCAGGTCTCTGACCTCCTCCCTATAGGCTGTCTCATCGTTGTCAGTGATCAGGCCTACCACTGTTGTGTTGTCGGAAAACTTAATGATGGTGTTGGAGTCGTGCCTGGCCATACAGTCATGGGTGAACAGGAGGGGACTGAGCACGCACCCCTGAGGGGCCACCGTGTTGAGGATCAGCGTGGCAGATGTGTTGTTACCTACCCTTACCACCTGGGGGCGGCCTGTCAGGAAGTCCAGGATTCAGTTGCAGAGGGAGGTGTTTAGTCCCAGGGTCCTTAGCTTAGTGATGAGCTTTGAGGGCACTATGGTGTTGAACGCTGAGCTGTAGTTAATGAATAGCATTCTCACGTAGGTGTTCCTCTTGTCCAGGTAGGAAAGGGCAGTGTGGAGTGCAATAGAGATTGCATCGTCTGTGGATCTGTTGGGGCGGTATGCAAATTGGAGTGGGTCTAGAGTTTCTGAATATCTACGGGTCAGTAGTCATTTAGGCAGGTTATCTTAGTGTTCTTGGGCACAGGGACTATGGTGGTCTGCTTGAAACATGTTGGTATTACAGACTCAGTCAGGGACATGTTGAAAATGTCAGTGAAGACACTTGCCAGTTGGTCAGCGCATGCTCGGATCGAAGTACATGTTCTGGTAATCCGTCTGGCCCTGCGGCCTTGTGAATGTTGACCTGCTTAAAAGTCTTACTCATATCGGCTAGGAGAGCGTGATCACATAGTCATCCGCAACAGCTGATGATCTCATACATGCTTCAGTGTTACTTGCCTCGAAGCGAGCATAGAAGTGATTTAGCTCGTCTGGTAGGCTTGTGTCACTGGGCAGCTCGCGGCCGTGCTTCCCTTTGTAGTCTGTAATAGTTTTCAAGCCCTGCCACATCCGACGAGTGTCAGAGCCGGTGTAGTACGATTCAATCTTAGTCCTGTATTGACTCTTTGCCTGTTTGATGGTTCATCAGAGGGCATAGCAGGATTTCTTATAAGCGTCCGGGTTAGTGTCCCTCTCCTTGAAAGCGGCAGCTCTACCCTTTAGCTCAGTGCGGATGTTGCCTGTAATCCATGGCTTCTGGTTGAAGTATGCGCGTATGGTCACTGAGGGGACGACGTCATCGATGTACTTATTGATGAAGCCAGTGACTAATGTGGTGTCCTCCTCAAGGCTATTGGAAGAATCCCGGAACATATTTGAGTCTGTGCTAGCAAAACAGTCCTGTAGCTTAGCATCTGCATCATCTGACCACTTTTTTATTAACCGAGTCACTGGTGCTTCCTGCTTTAGTTTTTGCTTATAAGCAGGAATCAGGAGGATAGAGTTATCGTCAGACTTGCCAAATGGAGGGCGAGGGAGAGCTTTGTACGTGTCTCCGTGTGTGGAGTAAAGGTGGTCTAGAGTTTTTTTTCCTCTGGTTGCACATTTAACATGCTGGTAGAAATGAGGTAGAATGGATTGAAGTTTCCCTGCATTAAAGTCCCTGGCCACTAGGAGCGCTGCCTCTGGATGAGCATTTTCCTGTTTACTTATGGCCTTATACAGCTCATTGAGTGCAATCTTAGTGCCAGCATCGGTTTGTGGTGGTAAATAGACAGCTACGAATAATATAGATGAAAACTCTCTTGGTAAATAGTGTGGTCTACAGCTTATCATGAGATACTCTACCTCCGTCAAGCAAAACCTCAAAACTTCCTTAGTATTAGATTGTATGCACCAGCTGTTGTTTACAAATATACAAAGACCGCCACCCCTTGTCCTACCGAAGTCAGCCGTTCTATCCTGCCGATGTAGCGTATATCCCGCCAGCTTTATGTTATCCATGTCGTCGTTCAGCCACGACTCGGTGAAACATAAGATATTACAGTTTTTAATGTCCCGTTCATGATCATGTTCATCTTTATCCTGTGTGAGTATATTTGAAATAATTAACCTATTTGATCATATTTTTGTAACAACATTAACTTTCAATTTGTTTCACGTTTTGCAATTTATTGCGAAATCTATTTTCTCATCAAAGGTTCCTTGTCAAAAGAGGCTATAGCCCAAACAAAAGGTATGTCAAAGTTTTTTCATTAAGGTTATTATCATTAACAAAAATAGTATGTTTTAGAAATGTCTGAAGATTGAATTCTAATTTAAACGTGCTACACAAATATCACAGCTAATCACAACACTGGTGCGTAAGTAATACTTGTCACGCCCTGGCTCTGGGGACACTTGTATGTTGAGTCAGGGTGTGAGTTTCCTTTGTTTCTAGTTGTTGTATTTCTATGTTGGCCAGAGTGGTTCTCAATCAGAGGCAACGAGTGTCAGCTGTTGCTGGTTGTCTCTGATTGGGAACCATATTTTAGACAGGCTGTTCTCCCACAGTGGTTGTGGGATCTTGTTCCGTGTTGGTTTGTGTATGTAACCAGGGACGTCACGTTATCGTTTTGTTGTTTTGTTCGTGTGATCATTATCTTTAATAAATATGTTTGCAAATAACGCTGCGCATTGTGGAGTGTTCCTGCTCCCCGCACCAAGCCAATGGTGCGTGTCGCCAGCCCGGCCCGGCCTGTTCCTGCTCCCCGCACCAAGCCAAGGGTGCGCGTCGCCAGCCCGGCCCGGCCTGTTCCTGCTCCCCGCACCAAGCCAATGGTGCGCGTCGCCATCCCGGCCCGGCCTGTTCCTGCTCCCCGCACCAGGCCTATGGTGCGCGTCGCCAGCCCGGTCCGGCCCGCTCCTGCTCCCCGCACCAAGCCAATGGTGCGCGTCGCCAGCCTGGTCCGGCCCGCTCCTGCTCCCCGCACCAAGCCAATGGTGCGCGTCGCCAGCCCGGTCCGGCCCGCTCCTGCTCCCCGCACCAAGCCTATGGTGAGCGTCGCCAGCCCGGTCCGGCCCGTTCCAGCTCCCCAGACCAAGCCAGTGGTGTGCGTCGTCAGTCCGGCACGGCCCGTGCCTGTTCCACCGGTGCCTGGTCCGGCACCGGTCAGCTGCTTCACGCCGGAGCTAGAGCAATCCGCTCCACCAGTGTGCAGTCCAGCTCCGGCCAGCGGGGCCAGACCGGACCAGGGGTACTTTGGGGGGTTGGAGAGGGAGTGGGGATCAGGCCCGGAGCCGGATCCGCCGCCAAGGCGGAGTGCCCACCCGGTCCCTCCCCTGTGGTATTTAGTTGGCGCGGTCGGAGTCCGCGCCTTTAGGGGGGGGTACTGTCATGCCCTGGCTCTGGGGACACTTGTATGTTGAGCCAGGGTGTGAGTTTCCTTTGTTTCTAGTTGTTGTATTTCTATGTTGGCCAGAGTGGTTCTCAATCAGAGGCAACGAGTGTCAGCTGTTGCTGGTTGTCTCTGATTGGGAACCATATTTTAGACAGGCTGTTTTCCCACAGTGGTTGTGGGATCTTGTTCCGTGTTGGTTTGTGTATGTAACCAGGGACGTCACGTTATCGTTTTGTTGTTTTGTTCGTGTGATCATTATCTTTAATAAATATGTTCGCAAATAACGCTGCGCATTGGTCCTCTGTTCCCGACGATCGTGACAATACTGTGAATCACTATCACTATCACTATTAGCGCCAGGTATATAATAGACATTTTCAGATATTACAATGCAAGAATTCAACAACAAAAAATAGACAGAAATGACTATGTGTAGCACCTTTAAAATAAGCAATATAAATTATATTTTCTAATAGTAGTTGAGGACATTTTTCCAGCAAAAATATATGGGACAGAAGCCAGTATAATGGAGGACAGTGACCTAGTAGTAAAATGTAGTACATTTGGGCATAAGGATGAAACAGAAGTGGTACATGTGTACTTGTGTTTGGATGGGGTTGCAGTGTATGTGGACAAATGTGAAACATATGATACCCTTTTCACCATGAAAAGTGAACTGGGCAACACTGGCAATTACAGCTGTGTGTTCTCCGAAACTCAATATCTACTTTCTGAAGTGCAAGGAAAGGGAGATAATTCACTTTCCATCCAGGTGATGGGTAAGGATATTTTTACTCTCTGGATATGTTATTGCTGTTAGACATATTGAACATATGGATACAATATACTTTTAATTATTTTTGATACAATATTTCAATGTGACTGCAAACACACCTTCATATTCCTCTCTTTTCCACCTCCTGCAGACCGGATTCTCCTTGCAGACATATCACTTTCACTTTCGCTCAAGTACTGTAAGAGAGGGAGAGGATGTGGAGTTCCAATGTACTATTATTAGAGCCCCCCAGAAAATAGAAATGACCAGTCACTCTTACCTCTGCAAGAATGGCACTGCTGTTCAGATGCAGGTGTTTGATGTTAACCGGATGGAGGCAACTTTTATGATTAAAAGTGTTATTAAGAATGACACAGGCAACTACAGCTGTGTGCTTGACCTGCAATCAAAACCCCTTGAAAATACAGACAGGAAATTATGTGGAAATAATTCAGCCTTTCTTCAGGTTAATGGTGAGAATTTATAGCTTAAAACTTATGAAAACACTTTTTATTCATAGTCACTATATGAAAGGAAGAGGTCAAGAGACAAATAAATTCTGTATTTCAGAGGCTGCACATGATATGAGTCTGGTCAATCTAATCAGACTGATACATTTACGTCATTTAGCAGACGCTCTTATCCAGAGCGACTTACAGTTAGTGAGTGCATACATTATATATATTTTTCCATACTGGCCCCCCGTGGGATTCGAACCCACAACCCTGGCGTTGCAAACGCCATGCTCTACCAATATCCCTCCCCTACCCTGGACCAATTGTGCGCCGCCCCATGGGTCTCCCGGTCATGGCCGGCTTCAACAGAGCCTGGATTCGAACCAGGATCTCTAGTGGCACAGCTAGCACTGCGATGCAGTGCCTTAGACCACTGCGCCACTCGGGATGATTGCTGTTAGTTACTACTGTCCAAACGTGGTGAGTTCAATGTCTTAAAATATGGGACACATGGAACTTTGGTATAGTTTGGGGATTTTCATTAAAGTCAGGTAGTAAGTTTTGAGTTTATCTTTTGGGGGTGTTATTTCTGATCATGAGAGGCGTAAGAGGCAGTTTGTATAGAAAACTACACCTGTCCGGATGTAGACCTATTCAGTCACATTCTTATTTTTAGCCATGTGTCTCACAGTATTTCACAGGCAATGCTGTTTACAGCAAAGCACTGAAGTTAAAAGGTATAATGATGAACACAGAAATATAATTAAGACCTGGGGTCTCTCCACACATAGCTTCCATCTACATGTAAAGTCACAATAAAGGATATGGGCCTGACGTTTTCTGTGCTTTTTGTTCTCAGATGCAGCAACTGAAGGGCCTAAAGCAGAAGCCGTGTACCAGACCACACACATAGACAGGATGTTGTCAGTACATTTAATAATTGCAAGCTGCAATCTATTTTCAAGCCATACATGTGGACTGTTGTTCTTGCATTGTTCAAGCATACAATATCTCTCTTGTCTACTCACTCCTTGCATGCTGTAGTTTAATGTAGTGAACATTACTGTTAGTCAAGTCCACATGTTCATTATGTTGATAACTGATACACTTAATATTCAATTTAATGTTTTACTCATGCACTAGTTGAGCTACTGAGCTAGTGAACAACAATGTATGGATTCCTGCAATGCTTTCAGTAAAGTTCAAATGATATCAGACGCCCCGAACTCCATCCTTCTAATCATAAGACATAAAGAGAGACGTTACACATGCTCTCTAGCAAACTCAAGCCTATTTTTGTGGACTTCATTTTGTGAAGTAGTGTAACTTGAATGAGAGTTTTGAAAGGGAAGACACACTTTCTAGAGTACTACATACTACAGTATCATTATTGGATACCGTTGTGCTCTTCACTGAAAATATAAAAATGTTTCCCTTACGTAAGAAGATTGCAGTCATAGTGCAGTATAACTGCAGTACACTGCAGTATAACTGCAGTTAGAGTGCAGTATAACTGCAGTATGCTGCAAATACTGCATTCAAAATAACACTGTTTTTTTTCTCCTGCAGTAATTTTGCAGTGTAACTGCAGTTAGAGTGCAGTTTAACTGCAGTTCAACTGCAGTACACTGCAGTTCAACTGCAGTACACTGCAGTTATTCTGCAATTACTGCGTCCAAAATATCACAGTCGGCGGCAGTTACTGCACTTTTACTGCAGTTTTAAAACTGCAATCTTTTTTTGTAAGGGTTCTACTCATTATAAATGTGTTATAGCTTTTTCTAAGCTCAGTATCATAGGCCTGGGGAGTTTGGAACCCCACATTAAAAAAGCTAATAGGAAGACTGTGTTACACATTGCAAAAATATCTCACTCCTCATAGCATACAAAGCCCTAGCTAAAACAGACTGAAAGATCAAATGTTGTTTAAAACAAATGTCCACTTGAGAAACCCAACCTACACCATTAGTCACTACATATGAATCCCACAGCCTCTACTCTCTAACTTTACTGATACAGCTATCAAGGTGGCAGTGTACTAGAAAGTCAAAGAAGATGATAAAGTAGTAATCCATAGTAATTGATTGAACAAATACATGTTTGGGTTGTATTGTAATCAGACCATCGTATCATAGAAATTGTCCAGTTTCAATAAAGTCACTGCTTCCTAAAAGCTGCTGCATTAGTGAACATTTACCATGGATATATGAACATTTACCACAATATATGAATACGCACAGGTTCTCTCTTTAAAGATGAATAGTCATTGTAATAACCTATAATATATATTTTCTACTGCTATGTGTGTGATATCTGATACAGTATGTGTGTGTAAACAATCAAATAGGTTATAAAAAGCAGTTGTGCTGCGTCCAGCCGTCTCATTCAATGTATTACCTGGTACTCACCAGAAAGGTGTGTGGTAGTTATGGGAGAGAACTCAAAGTTAGTACCTAAGTACCGGTGCTTGTTATGGTGAATCACACATGAGTAACAACTAGTTAATTATTATGTAACTACTAGATAAAATGACCTAAGACATTTGACTGTGTCCTTTAATATAAGCAGGGTGAAGTGGGTAATTGAAAGCTCTGTGATGCAACCTCTCATCATGGTCAAAGACGCTTCAAATAGAACGCTATTGTTTTCCGGATATTCACATTTAAAAACGTTACATGCTGAGACCTACCTCCTCCTCAGTCTTTTATAGTGTCAGATAGGTCTAGAAGATCACAAAAGGCTGCAAGTCACATCATGGGTTCCATCTTTCTTATGATATGTGAGTATCTTTACAAATACAGATTAGAGTAAGCATATGGTCTCAAAATGATCCATACGTACAGTACGTACTCATTCAATGTATTTCTATTTAAACTGCCTATTGTGTAAATCTCCCATTATTTCGTCACAGTCACAGTAACAGCAGGTGTACAGGCCATCTCTGAGGAAATAGGTAAGAGGACATCTTTTTCATCCTAAAATGCAAAGAGTTAAAATATTTTGCCGATTTATTCCAAACATGATTATTACAAAGACGTTTAATCATCCTTAATTATCTCCTTCACTCTCAAATGATGTAGCTGTCTACCCCGCAAAGCTTTTTGGATCAAAGTCTCACGTTGGAAAGGGAGATACTTTAGATTTGAAGTGTAGGATCTCTGGCATCAAAAGATCCTGGGACAAGGTTCATGTGTACATTTGCAAGAATGGAGTTGGGATGAGAATGAAGGTTCTGGAGAAAGGTGAATATGACACCAGTTTCACCATGAAGGATGTTACAAAAGAAGATTCAGGCAACTACAGCTGTGTCTACACCAGAGATAAACTCGTACCCAGTCACGTGTTCTCATCAGGCAAGAATTTAGTAGCAATCCAGGTCTACGAAGGTAGGATTTATTTGTGAAAAATGTTGTTAATTCATTTATTTGGCCTTTTGATATCCGTTTTTCATTTGTCTGTTCATGTTATGTGGGATTGATCTATTTAAGATTTCGTCTCAATGTTGATTTTTGTAGGTTGATTCTTAAGATTCTAAGGGGGGGGGGGGGGGGGGGGGGGGATCATACCATGGATTATTTAGCTATTAGATTTTTTTATTTTAGGACCCCTTTAGGTATAAAAAAAATAAATAAATAAGATTTGTTAAAATATTGCATTTGACTACTATAGCCCATAGAAACACATTGAATAACACATTCATAAATGGCAAAAAAGACAGTTAAAAAATAAATCATAAGGAATAAGGTTTGAAGTGTCTGTCCTACATCTAGGAGATATTAGAAAGCTGGAAATATTTTTTGTTTTTTTACACATATTTAACCACATTTTTGGAGTAGGCACAAAACTACCTCCATACTTCGTTCATTTTTTAAACCAGTACCGGTTACCTTCAGACGAGTCTAGTGACACTTGTGTGGGTCATATAGCAAAGTGGAGAACATCATCTTGTTCGTGAGAAACTCCCCTTTCCAAAGTGGGGTCCCATGTAGTCCAAATGCTTTGGACGCTACAAACAGAAGTTGGCACATCGACGGTACCAACTAGAGACGAGTCCGGTCGGGCTTGTGGGGGTCATACAGCAAAACCGTTTGGAAGCTACAGACGTTTTCGTGAGAAGACCGATTTTCAGGATTTCTCATGGTCTGACAAACATCGCTGTAGCTCAGTCACCTTCCACCGCAAATGTGGAAGGCCGACATAAGCCCTATTCGGACGGGATACATTTTATTGGGGGAGCTCAGGTAATGTAATTATGTGCACGAGCACAAATCACCACATCCGTAATTTTAGTCCTGTCCAAACATTTTACTTGGCAGGAAGGTTATCATACCAGGCCTAAAAACCCGGCAAACTGCCAGGTCCTCTGATAATACTTATCCTGTGCGGATCGTCATCCCTGTGTTTTGAGGTGCTGCACCCAGTTTGGGTAAGAACATGGGAACAAATTGATCCTTAAAACAAAGTGCTATACACGTACCCTACAGATGAATGATCTGTTTTGTCACATATCAACTTTTCTAGTGCCAAATTTGTGGACGATATTGTGCCAATGAATTGATAAATTGCCAAATACGTCAGTTAATTAAATGTCTGCATAGGTTAGAGTTCATGGCTCTTATTGATATGCATTATTATTTTGGCTTTGAATGAATGCCATTAAGCCAATATTAGGCTATTGCTAGATTTTTGAAATATCTTCACGCCTAGAAGAGCCTCCAGGCTTCCATTATGAATTTTGAATGAGCAAAAAAAATTATCCAGGGGCAGTTAGGTAAAACTAATCCCATCCAAATCTTCTACTGGAAAAACAGACATGCTGGGGTAATAATTACATAACCGACGTTCTATAGTAATACTAGTCCCGTGTGCGAATAGGGCTACAGGCGGATGCGGTGGATTGAGACAGTCCAAAAAACTGATATCTCTAGCTTAAACTGACGGATTTTGATGGGGATTCTTTAAATTATGTTACTTAGAATGACGCACCGGTGTCAATAGACTCTAGGGGGTTAACATCAGAGGAGGCTGGTGGGAGGAGCTATAGGAGGACGGCTCATAGTAATGTCTGGAATGGAATCAATGGAACGGTATCAAACACATCAAACATGTAGAAACCACGTTTCACTCCGTTCCATATATTCCATTCCAACCATTACAATGAGCCTGTCTTCCTATAACTCCCCCCACCAGCCTCCTCTGATTAACATTGTCCTTATTGATGTTATAGGGGATGTTTTAGGATGTGGCAGATGGTGGGGGGTTTATTCCATGTCATTGACCACATGGATACACTTAGAATAAGTTCTGTCTAATTGATGATGCGTCCATCTACATTTGGTCTCTATTTCAGAGACTGCACATGATGTGATACTGGTCAATGTAATCCGACTGATAAGTTCAGCTGTTGTGGTCATACTTCTACTGACTGTAGTGGCTGTTAGTTCCTGCTGTTCTAAAATAGGTAATTATGATAATTGATGTCTCTTTTCTGGATGACATACAGTAGTGATCTTCTGACAGATAACAACTTTTGGTAACCCTTCCTATCAATACTCTCTTCATAATGCATTACAAGCACACGTACACTGAGTATACAAAACATTAAGAACACCTTTCTATGACATAGACTGACCAGGTGAATCCAGGTGAAAGCTATGATCCCTTATTGATGTCACTTGTTAAATCCACTTCAATCAGTGTAGATGAAGGGGAGGAGACAGGTTAAAGAAGGATTTTTAAGCCTTGAGACAATTGAGACATGGATTGTGTATGTGTGCCATTCAGAGGGTGAATGGGCAAGACATGCATAACACATTATAATTGCAGGCGCTAATAACGGCTTTTAAATATAACTACATTCATAAAGCATTAAATACTTATAAACACTAGTTTCACTGTACTCCTCACACATCATGGCACAATTGAACCTACAACAAGAGATTATGCTATTAGATCTTAGTGGGATATCAATTATCAATAGGCTATTATTTGTCTTTTAGCAAAAAGTTATTAACATGCTAAGATATGTGTTAATATATTGTAGACAAAAGAGCCAAGCAGCGAGTGCCCAAGGAAGATCCATGAGGTAAGCTTAATAACAGTCTATTATCGTCTCCATACTAATGTGGCACAACAAGAGATATTGAAACAGTGGACTTTGTTTCATTTTCACAGGCACTGAAGCTAAAAAGGACTACTACAGTATGTACTGTAATCTGCCAACCTGGTCCAATAGTACAGTATGACAGTGACCCTAAGGGGCAAATGAGCTTTACAGGGTCTTTTTCAAGAAAATGCGGGAAATGAATGAGCAACCTACAATCAATTACCAATGTTACTTTGCTCAATGGCTATTTATAGTACTGTTTTTAGCTTTAGTTGTTATAAGTTTGTTGTAACATTACCTGATGCTATGGGGTAGTGACATTCACTATGAAGGAATTAATTCGGAATATATTGACAGAATCCTTAAGAATGTATACAGTTTTTTATTGGTGTAATGCATCATAAGATTCAAGTATATAATGCTTTTTTTGTACAATACCAGTAGGTGTGTCCAAACTTTTGACTGGTAGTGTATTTTGAAGGAAAACTATCTTTTGGTATTTGTTTAGTCCATTGTTGATGTAGTCCCAAAATGTTTTGCATGTCATCAATCAAGATTTCAAGATATGTAACTTTCTAAATACAGAAATCTGGCCAGTATGATGCATTTTGTATCATATAATGCAAAATGCAGCATCATATAATATAAAATGCATCATATGGGCCAGATTTCTATATTTGAAAGTTTTGTTTTTATTTTCTCACAATGACAAACTATTAAATCACTGTCACAACTTTTGTAAAAATTTAGCTAGTTATTCTCCCTATTTCATGGAGAGTCATACGAGAGCACAGTGATATAAAACATTTGGAACTATGTTTTCATTATTTCAAATTTGAATATGAGTTCCACATCCTACAAGACAGATTGATTGAGGGACGAGCGTCACATAGGAGTGACACAATCTGACGTAAGACAATGCTCTGATACAGCATCCAGTAAAACACCAGAGTCTAATATATCAATGGTCTTTACAGAGGGTCCAGAGAGTGGAGAAGAAGTTGGAGAGGCATATGGAGTAGAACATGTGAGACTGGTCAATGTAACATGATTGATAAGTTCCGCTGTTGTGGTCATACTTCTTCTAACTCTATTGACTGTTAGTTACTGCTGTCCAAATAGGTAGGCTAATCATAATGTCACTTTCTGGAGGAGACAAACAGTAGTAATGCACTGACAGATAAATACTTTTTCTTGAGAAATATGTGGTTATACCATACAAAATACATGTTTTACTGTACTTACCACATATGGAACAATTGTAATTGAACCTATGAAGGGTTATGTATAGTGAATAAAAATATAAACGCAACATGTAACGTGTTGGTCCCATGTTTCATGAGCTGAAATAAAATATTCCAGAAATGTTCCTTACGCACAAAAAACGTATTTCTCTCAAACGTTGTGCACAAGTATGTTTACATCCCGGTTAGTGAGCATTTCTCCTTTGCCAAGATCATCCATCCACCTGACAGGTGTGGCATATCAAGAAGCTGATTAAACAGCATGATCATTACACAGGTGCACCTTGTGCTGGGGACAATAAAAGGCCACTCTAAAATGTGCAGTTCTGTCACACAACACAATGATGTCACAAGTGTTGAGGGAGCATGCAATTGGCAGGCTGACTGCAGGAATATCCACCAGAGCTGTTGCCAGAGAATTTAATGTTAATTTCTCTATCATAAGCCACCTCCAACGTTGTTTTAGAGAATTTGGCAGTACGTCCTAACGGCCTCACAACCGCAGACCACGTGTAACCATGCCAGGCCAGGACGTCCACATCCGGCTTCTTCACCTGCAGGATCGTCTGAGACCAGCCACCCGGACAGCTGATGAAACTGAGGAGTATTTCTGTCTGTAATAAAGCCCTTTTATGGGAAAAAAAAACTCATTCTGATTGGCTAGGCCTGGCCCTCCACTGGGTGGGCCTATGCCCTCCCAGGCCCACCCATGTCTACGACCCTGCCCAGTCATGTGGAATCCATAGATTAGTGCCTAATTTATTTATTTGAATTGTCTGATTTCCTTATATGAACTGTAACTCAGTAAAATCGTTGAAATTGTTGCATGTTGTGTTTATATTTTTGTTCAGTATATTTAAAACTGTTACTGCTACAGTGGGATACATAAAGTACCAAATGGTTGCACTCACAGTCAATTGAATCTCTGACTGGTAGGACGGGTGATAGGGAAAATGTTCAATAAACTATACAAACTGAGAATTTAATCATATCAACATATCAACTTATAATTTGCCAAATTGTTTTACTGTTTGG